CTTCAAAACTTGTTTATGATTATGTGTGTAAACTGTGCTCCAGATCATGTTTTTTTTACTTCCTTCTTATGGCAAGAAATGTTCATTAAATTTTCCTTCATAAATATACATATTTTTTATGAAAAGATACTTACACATGACCTATGCATCAGTGGCCGACCTGCAGCAAAAAAAAAGAAGAACTTCAAAACTACAATACATTTCTTGTTCACACACAGCAATAAAATTACACTAGCAAAACATGGGAAATAGAAATTACAAAACTTTAGATACAAATGAAATAAAAACAGGTAAAAAAATTAGCCACTCACAGTTTCAGTTTGATCAACTAAATATTTCTTATAGCATTCACTATTAAAAAGCATAAAGAGGTGAAAAATATTTAAGAGTTAGTATAAAAGTATCCATTATTTTTCCCATCTTACTATTCACATTTCACCTCTGATGAAGAAAATCTTTAATATTTTTTCAAACGAAAAAATTGCTTAAAAAAAAAACATTTTATAAATCATGTCAATGACAATGTACAATAGTAACTATCAGAAATTGAAAAGATTATTTCCCAAAGTTTTGAGAATGAAAATAGATTTTATATTTCTAACCAGAAAAATAAACATTTTTATCATATAATCATCAATGTATTAAAATTTAACAGTTTAAGCACTAAACTGATGATTAGAGATGTCCTTGTGCATTCAAAACTGCAAAACTTTTAAGAATATCAAAACACATTTGCAATATTTATCAAATGCTTTATATACTGACAAAATAAGAAGTACAAAAGGTAAATTTAGCTTACCAAAACGAACCTTTCCAGTCCGAAATAGTTAATATTGTATTGTTGGAAGAGACATGAATATGACATACTGGAAGCTCTGCAAACCTAGTTCCTTCTACAACCATATCATTCGTATTTTCTTCGGGAAAAGCAAATTTCCTTCAAAAGATAATGGTTTTCATTAAGTTGTTGATATTCTTACTATAATATAGATATACATTACATATTGATTATTAAGTCGTATTTTCGTTTTTTATGCATCTAATCAATGAAATAAATAAAAATTAAAAAAGTCCAAGATGATGAAAATAATGAAAAACAAGACTTTAAAATACTTTAAAAAATCTCGTTGTCTAGAATAAAACAAACTTTTATAGCATTCCATCTGTCTTATCAGGAAATGATATTCAAGTATTAAGTTCAAACTGCATTTCTATATAAAAGTATACTGCAAGCAAATATGAACTGATATAAATGTTTTGTCAATTAATTCTTCCATCATTATACTATTACAACAGTAGCTAAATCTGTCATACCATTTTTGGTTCACTAGGCATAACCGTATGTATACAAGTTCACAACACCGTCCACCAATGAACTTTACAACTGATTTATCTTAAGAATAAAAAATTTATTAATCACAAAAAAAATTGTGCATCAGAATGTTTTCAGACAAACTAAACCAACAGTTCAACGGGTTTAGAGAAAAACATATCTGTGCTATCATGTTAATTAATAACAAATTAAACCAACAGTTCAACAGGTTTAAAGAAAAACATATCTGTGCTATCATGTTAATTAACAACTTTTGCACATTAATCATGTGTAATAAAAGATTTCTGTGGAGAAGATAACTTTCTCCAGACCAGCTTGTCTACTTAACCTTATTACTATCAACATTCTCTCTCTCTCTCGTTGGAATATGGCATATGCTGGCGAGCAGACATTTTTATATTTCAAGATTACCTTTTGATACTTTAATTATCTATGAGCAATGTTTCATGTCCAAAGTTTTATTTTGTTTTTTATTTATTATCAGAATTGCTTTATTATTGTACAAGTTATGAACCTATAAAAATGCCAAAACATTAGGCTCATTGACCTACCAACCACCATTCTTATAATTTAAATTAAAACACTTAATGACAAGACTCTCAATCCAAATAAGGATTATGTAAGGCTATAATGTTGGCAATGGAAGCTAGTCTGGCTGTGGCATCAGCAAGTTCACTCTCCCAGGTACAAATACAGCCACAATTCAAAAACAGTGTCAGTCATTTTTGAGCTGATGTGAAATGATTCCAGGGCCATGAAAGAGCTAATTGAGTCTATATTTTTTCTTCCCAGTGCAAAAGTGGAGACCAGAGACCCACAGCACAGCTTAGATCAAATGATGTGGAACAGAGGTCACTGTTGCTTGGTGTGAGAAGTAAAAGCCAACTTATTGTCAAACAGTAGAAGTTATATGAATGCATTCTCAGCCACCATTAGACTATGTCTACCATAAATTTGGAGCTCAGGATCAGGGTGCAATTCCATTTTGTTGACAAAATGCATGCAAATGGTTTTAAATAAAAGTTTCAAAACATTTGCAGTAGTCCACTCACACAGTTTATATTACTGAGGGCAGTCTTGAGCTGCCTTTTAATGTATCTCATATTCAACGATCAACAAATAATAAACACAGATGCTATTTGCAACTCTTTGAGAAAGTTGTTCAGTGAAAACATTGATCTTAATGCATAAAAAGTGACACCCAAGACTTCCTGTACAAAAATCAGAAAAGTGTTGACACCAAATCAATAATTGGAAAAAATACTCAAAGTTAATTCAAATTAACACTAATTCAGACAGCAGAAAATATTCCAGGCTCATTTTAAGCTTTCTCTGCCTTTTTGTAGCCATGGACAAGGATACCATTTAAGATTTGGGAATCATAAGGACAGCTGTCTTGACAATAAAGTAAGTTACTATCTCTAGGCAGTTGTTAACAATTGGAAGGTTAACATCAGCAGAATCAACCTTTGAGAAAGTTCAGTCAGCCTTCTTCAACTGTACTGGTCATGAGATAGGCTGAGGCCATATTTCTGAGAATAATGAGAAACTTATCACTGCCCATCTCCCAAGATGGAAGGAGAGAAATGAACAAATGGAGAGATCTATGGCAGTAAAAGTTTAACACAGGGTATAGAAATATATTTTTTCCAGTATTGAAGAAATGTTTGCAACTCAAGAGCAGATGTCCTATGAATCAATCCTTCCCATTAATAGCTATACTGGTAAACTTTGCAACTCAACTATACTGTCATTACGTTATCTGGTAGCCACAATGACAAAGATCAACATCAGCATCTAGTTAGCATTGATACTTGTCATTAGAAGTGAAAACTCTCCTAACAGCTTCATTCCTTAACTACAGTTTAGTAAGAACATCCATTCTTGAGATATTAAAAATATCCTTACCAGTGACTACTCTAAGAAATTCAAAGAATTTTGATGGACCACCTCATTAGCTTTTGCCTTGTCATTAGTCTTGTGGATATGATGCTTCAACCATCCTAGACTAAGTTATTGAGAGATTCTGGAATTTGTAAGCTTTTGTATTAAGAAAGAAATATCAAAAACTGAGATGTAGGGACAAAAGGTGATTACTGTAAGTCTGTTTTACTGATTTTGGTTATCTGTAAAGAAAAGTTTTGTGCCCAATGACACCACCCACTACAGTGCCCAACAGTATCAGATATAATACCAAAACAACCAATATTAGTACTTGGTTGACCCTAGCCACAAATGAACAGCTAACTTACCCCAAAGGACCCACTCCAGGGTCTCTTATTTACATGAATTCAAAGTCAAAGAGAGGATGAATCAAGAAAACATCCAAACATCTTTTCAAGGCACCAAATATCTAAAGCATATGAAATGTGGCTAAAACAAACCAAATACAGATCATCCTCAGCATGAGCTAAAGCCTGGAATTGGATATCAATTGAGTGAAGGTGGAAAGGCAGCATTGATGGTGGTTGCAAATCTACTGTAAACACAGTTCAACAACTGAACATGGTGGTTGTTGGCTTAAAGGATGTCCAGAGCCAGGAAAAATATGAGGACCCAGTAGTGAATGAATCCCAGCCAAGGTAAGAAAGAAACAACTGAGGAAGTGGCTAAAGGTATCATGATAAGATCAGACAGAAAATGATAGTAAGCTTATGGAGTAGTCACCCGTTCAAGAATACAGAGTCAGAGAAACCTATCTCTGGAAACCAGATACAAGATCTGTACACCACCAGAACAGAGGCAATGGAAAAATGTGGTTATAGGAGTGGTAGTCATCAAGCACAAAGTCCACAGAAAGTGATATGTACTACACTCACCACAGATATGGAAATCCACATATAAGAGGAAAGAGTCCACAGACTGACCTCCAGGAGCTCCAAACAGATGCATGTCTGGGTAAGGTGGAGAAGGAGAGATGTCCAACATTGTGTGAGCCACCACAACGAAAAGACACTGTATCTCTGGAAATACCTGTAAACTGAGCTTACCCCACATACAAAGTGAGAGAAGCCTCCAACTGAACGAGATACAGGATGGGTGATGAGACTGAATTGGAGAACCAAACCAGCCACAGCCACCCCAAACAAGATGACTTTCTGAAGTGGTAGCAGTTGCAACAGAGGAAGCCACAATATATGAGGAAAGAAGAGGCCAAACATCCATAAATTAGTGGAGCAACCTTCTTTGGCTGTTCCCTTAAGCTAAGGTCACTGTCCTTCACATATGTTGCCCTCCACTAATCATCTTTGTTCACTGCTAGGTCTTCTGCAATTCCTTTTTTGTTCTTGTCTTCCTTGGTTCCATTCTTCATCTACTCTACTGGCCATCCTTGTCTTCTCCTGCTGGCTACTGGCATCTCTAATGCTCTCCTTATTGCTTGTTCTTCTTCTCTTCACATGACCAAACCACCTCAACTTCATTTCTCTCACCTTTTCTTGATTCCACAGACTTGTATCTTTTCCTTATTTATTCTCTTCACTTTCATTGACATTCCCAACAGCCATCTCAGCATTCTCATTTCTATTCTTATTAACAAGCCTTCTTTTTTTCTTCAGGGTGCAGGTCTCAGCTCCATAAAGGAATACTGGTCTAGAAGTTAGTGGAGCAATAGTCCTCAAGAATGTGATAAGTGGGACAGATGGGAACAATAAAAAAACAAAAGGGAGTAAACCTTAGTGTGTGTTTGAGGAATGGTCAGATGATGATGAAAACAGGTGAAGTGGCAAGTAGAAAGAAAGGGAAAAATATCTAAGACAGAATCTGAAGAACACAATAGGCTGTAGCAAAGGGAGTTCACCAGATTAAAAAGTGGGAGAAAAGAGCTCCAACAGCACCAGAGCCAAAGAGTGGTTCTAGAAATAAAATCACCTAATCAGACCTATGAAGACCAGCACTCAAAGAGGGAGGGGACCACAAACAGTAACAAGAGGACAAGGAATAGAAGGTGTGATCCCACAAGATCTTGTACAATGAGAAACCTGGTGGGCTCCCTTGGTCCCAAAGGCAAGAACCAAACTGAAAAGAGATAGCTGGAAAAGTTGCATCAGCACAAGATCCCAAGGTAAAATACCCCCCCCCCCAAAAAAAAACATCACAAAAAATAGATGCAAGACAAGTTTTGGAGAGGAGAACAAACATGAGGAAGTAAGGTAACCTGTCAATGACAAAGTACACCCCAGAAACAAAGTATCCAAAGTAACTGGAACAAAACTGAGAACAAGGTGGAAAACCTGTATTTTCGTGTTGCCCCACTAAAACAAATAGGGTCATGATAGAAAGCCCCAAAATGAATAGAAAAATGTGAATGAACTAAGAAGTTGAGTAGGACATGGATAAAAAGGAAATCCCTAAACTGAAATAAACGATTGGGGTGAGAACAAGTTAAATCCTCAGATGCCGGGAACATGAATGCATAATTCAATTCATCCATGAAATTGAGATTTTCATGGTCCATTTTTGAAAATACAGATTCCTTTTTTTCTTTTATTAGCTACAAATAACTTGATTCAGGTATGGTGAATAAGCCTAATGACAACCTTGAAGAATCGTAAAACAAAACTCGTATGTTGAATTAAACAACAGAAACAGATAATGGGACAAGTGTCTAAAGTACAAAACTGATTAAAAGAAAATCAAATTGAAGATAATTTAAATGTAAATAATAACTGATAAGTTTAAAATGTAATATATTTCTTTCATATAATTAAGAAAATTAAGGAAAGAAAGCCTACACAATGAATAGCAATAAAAAGTTAAAACAATAAGAGCATACATTCTGGTAAATCTTAAGAAAACACACATTTGAAGATAAACAGTGCTGAGGAAAGAATAAGTCTGGGTGCACCTGGAGGTTGTGTTGCCTTCCCATTGGTGGAGGGCTATAATCTAATCATAATTACATTACACAGCAGTGTGCATGATCTAATGGATCTTTGTGGTACACAGAGGCGAGTAGTGTTTCTGAACATAAATTCACTTTAAAACAAAATACCAACAAAAGGAAATGTTTTCTGTGTTCAATTTCTGGGTAATATTTTGGTTAAAACCCTGTTATAATAACCTCTCTTCATACAATTAGAATAAAACCAGACAGAAGATTAATTTAAAAATATCAAAAGTATTACCAAAATATTTTTCTTCAACATTATTAGAAATTAAAGAGCTCTCTAGCCAACTTTAAACATATTAATCAAAACATACTGATCCTTTTTCAATTAAATAACAGAACTCTCTTTAAGAAAAGGCATATGCATAACTCTTAAATTCTGGCAATACCCATCTTTTGGTTCACACGAGCATAAAAAACAAATCTCTCATCATGACCAGTTGGATTTTTCTAAACTTAGAAATGACAATTATAAGACATCAATATAAACATCAATTCAAATGTAAATAACTACAGGATCACCAGCTCATAGGTAAGACTCATATTTCTAACCATATCCTACTCACAGTACAAAATAAAATTCAGAATATCATTTTTTTTGTTATTTTTGACTAACTTTGAAAAATTAATCCCACATAATCACACGAAATACTTCAATTTCATGCAGAAGAGACATATTTATACCTAGTTAATTTAAATTCTTTTAAGACAAGCATTTCTATTAAAAACATACCTTGCCTGTAGCTATTCCAATCAATCATCCAGACGATTACTAGTCTAACAACTGCACCATTACGTATTAACAGTACAGTTTATTGAATTGTTTGAAAATCAGCACTCTTGATTTTTCAGATCTGTATAACATCTTCCATATTATCTACAGGTTATGTATACTGTTTAGCTATATGTCATTTTTGTTGATGAATAAAATAATTATTCTCCCACTTTACTTTTATTCCACCCATCACTAAAAAATCCATGTTATACATACCAAAGGGCTTGGCATCTAACATTTGATAATTTCATTACCTACATAAAAATGTGTAAGACTATGACACACCCATTCATGGTATCATCAAATTCTGCTAATAAAGTTATTATTAATTACCATGATTGTTACACTTGACTGACATTAATACTCCATTATAAATTATTTACACCCTCTGATACAACTATTAGTTATCTAATGTATTGCTTGTAATTAAGCAGTCATTATACATGTTAATTGCTAATATTGTCAGACAGTAAATTTCAATCATTTAATTAGACATCATGTTATAATTTTTAAGGAATGTTTCTAACTAGTGTAAGGAGCTTAAAAGGCCATAAAAATCAATCTTCATATTTACACTACTACAACACAAATAAAAAAAAACACTAACATACAGTCTTACTTTTAAACAATAAACTATTCCAAAATTAAACACAAATTGGTCAGTAAGTTATATAATAGTTCAATACCTATGATTTCAAAGCTTGTATCTAATAATACTAATAGTTATAATATTAAAAGCTCTAATAAAACAAAACTACCTAGTCTGACAATTTGGTAAAACAGAATAACAAAGCACGTAGCAAACTCAAAACTTAAGTTAAAGTAACTTGTATTATAACAATAACAGATTTTATTTTAATAAAAGTACATATTTTTCATAAAAATAGCATAATCATTTTACCACAAAAAACTGATCCTACACAAAACAAATGCGCTCTATCTCTTTGCTTGAAACAGCCTTTGCTCAGCCGCATTAATACCATAGTATTACTAGTGGTGGTAGTGCTAGTGCTGTTGTCGAAAGGAAAGCAAATATCGGTAGCCATATTGAAATATGCAGTAACTGAGTAAGACAAAGACAAAACTTGTGCTATATCAATTCCTCTTAACCATTAATGTGGAACAAAATTAACTTGAAACTTCTTTATGAAACATCTTGTTCGGACACAAGACATATTTTGTGTTACAAAAAAAAATAAACAAAATTAAGCCATGAACAGAAACCATGTTCAACTCTTACATCAGTTTGAAAGAATCAATGTCGACAGACTTCTCTCCTTGTACGCCTTCGTCCTTTCGAGGAAGAGACGCCATCATAGCTTTTCGATCATCAGCTTTCCAAATACTAGCAGAGGCATGAAAAGCTCGAAAACCTAACTTCATTTGTGGATTATATATTAGACAATAATGGAAAATGTTCATTAATCTGTTTTTAAATATTAAAGCCATATTTATTTAAACTAAAATATTTTAAATACAACTCTTAATATAACATTTCCGTCATTACGGCCCTCACCACCAGTGCTTGCTGATAAACTACGTTGCAGTCCGTCGAGCTAGCTGATAACCAGTTAGAAGTAACCGGTTTGGTGACGTCAAAAGCATTCTTTTTGCCAATTGGTTTCTACTTGCTGGTTATGCCACGTGAGGAACGTTTTTTAATCCTACAAGAATATAATATACTGTATATATATATATATAGTCTCACATACACACACATAGACAGGTTTATTTAAAAACAGACACCTAAGTTCACATAGTGTTCAAAACGTTGAAATGTTGCGTAAACATGGATAAATATTTATTGTTTACACAAAATAAAGATTAATTACTAGCCATATTGAAATAATTTATTAGATGAGGTTCGGGGAAACAGCGGTATCTATGTGACAAGACGTATTATATTCTGGAAAAAAATCATTTTTTTTTACTTTTTAAAAATAAAAAAATCTATAGATGTTACATCTCAACATTTACCGTATTTTGTTACTCGTTCATGAAGTAGCTCGTAAAGAAACGACGAACAATTTCGTATCACCACAAGAAATTTTATTTGAAGAAATTAGAAAAGAACTAACTACCTGTTCGTCACTTTCTTCCTGCCATACTAATACTAGTCAAAGATTAAGGGTTAGAGTGGATTGATGAACAACTACTATACAATATTATTGAAAACTGTTGAAATGCTCCTTTATAGTTTTATTCATATTAACGGTGTCACCGATTATTACTTGGGTAAAGGTAAGGCACTGGAAATTTAGGGGCCATTGAAAAAGTTATTTGATTGTTAAAGTATGTCATCAGGCTTTCGCTGTGGAGGATAAAAAAAAGAAAGAAAACCGGTGGAAAATTTACGGCACTATTTATGGAAAACAAATTTTGCACTTTTTGATTTTTAAACATACTTTAAATGGCCATAAGGGTAAACATCAGTCTCACATTTCATATACATCTGCAGAGATTATAATGAAAATGAAAAACCTCACTTACAGTGGAGTTTTTTCTTCCATCTTCGATAGTTGGCTCTCAAAAATGGTCGTGAACGTCGTGTGTAAATTAATAATAAGTTAACAAACAATGACTTATAAGCATAATAAAGTAATTTACTTTGAGGAGAACATAATACATGTTTTGACTGAATATTGATCTATGTTGTTCTATTTATAAAAGCATGTTCTCATTGTTATTTCGTTAGATTTGACTGTATCTTCTTGATGCTTGTAAACGTAACGTGGACTTTCAAAGTTCTTGAATATCCTGGTCCTCTTTTCTTGTTTTAATTCTTGGGGTATATGAAGAGCTGAGAAAAAGAAACAGCCTAAAGCCCCCTTTTGGTGGAAACTGCACCAACTTTAAGGATGCATCTGCAGAAACAAAAGGAAAACAGTGGTCTTTTATCCTCCAGCAGCAACAATATATATCTTTATTTTTCAAACCTCAGCACGTCTGGTAAAATGCATCTCAAAACGTGATTCCCGGACATATTCACTACAAGTTTTATTACAAAGAATACCTATCTACCACTCACCTGTTGTGTCTCACTGAACATCCCAATCTAAATACGCAGATGAAGCTACTAAATTGATAAGTATTGTGATTCGTTGAGCTGCTTTACTCTAATATGTGCATTCACTGCAACATGTTATAGTATAACAAAATAATAGGATGAATCAACACCCATATAATACATCTAGTTAGCTCAAATAGTACATGCGTGTTCCACAAGCCTGTAAATGATTGTATGTCAAGTAGCTCAACGAATCACAATACTTATCATTTTAGTAATGATATTTTCAAGTGGATATTTAATGGCGAGTATCTTATTCGTTTTTAAATAATTAAACCATCATTTAAATACATTGTAACAATACCCTCAGATATAAAAATGTCAGAAACACAACTTTCAGGTTTAATTCTCAAAATGCTAACACAGCTGTTGATACAAAAATATTTTCAAATATACAAGTACTTCCCCGTTTCAGCTGATTTATTTATTCAAAACTATGCAATAAACACAAACAATGTACACTTACTTCAATTGAGGAATTATTTAAAATTGTTGATTTCATTTACGTTTCTGTATGATTTTGGTCAGCAATTTTGTTCTAGTGTTCTGTCGATTTTAACGGTTTAGTAGTAGGAGACATTTTTGAAACACGTCAAGAAGGCACAGATGTACCATAAGACCATATAGTTGTATCTTTAACACGTGATGCTGTGCCGTTATGGAGAATCGAAGATGGCATCCAAAACTGGCAACAAAGCGAGAAACGTGAACAAACACACGTGCGCAACAGCACTGTAAGATTGTTGTAAGCCACTCCGTGAATTTCACCTAATTGTTCCTGTTTTATGAGGTTCTGTTAATTAACAGTGTGTATAAGTTTGATATTGTTTCAACTCTTCTCTTCAGCTTCTGCTTGACTACTTTAAATCTTTTAAGTTCCTGCTGCAAGACATCCAGTTGATGCAATAATCGTGATCCGTGATCGGGCGACCTTCTCTCGAGCCAGAAACAACATGGGCCCGTTTAGGTTTTGTGGAGCCACCAGCATCAGCGTTCATTTGTTGTGGTGTACTTTCTATTGATAAAGACTCAACAATAAGTCTAAAAGCTTAAAACTCTAAAAACCAGTGTTGAATATGTTTAGTGTAGATATTATTAATTTATTTATTTTGTGAGTTAATATTTCTCGATTATTTACTTTTTTATAACAAGAGAGTTAAAAGCAATTATTTTAAAGGCCATAATTATGACAAGTTTGGTTATGTAACCCAGTAAAAGTCGTACCTTGTGTTTGCAATTCATTGGTGTCAAAGCTATATAAAGTTCTAGAGGCTTCATTGATATACATATAAATAGCTGCGACCAAGCGAGCAGGAGCAGAGAAAAAGTAAAGAGAAGTTCGATCAGAGAAAAGTTAGAAAACGTGAAGTTAGGCATTGTGGGAGTGAATAGCTTTAACAGTTGATATGTTAAAGTGAGATTAACAGTTTGAGAGAGATAAAGAGAATAGTTTGTTTTGTCAAAAAATGTTCTAAATTAACTGACCCTACCTATGAGGGTTTTGACGGAAAGAAGACAATTGTTGGAAGTTCATGATACAACTGTGGTAACCCACGATGCAACGTAAGTAAATTATTCACTGAGACTATTGTGATAAAAGTAGAGAAAAATAGTTCAGATTCCCAAATGGATTCTAAAGAAATTGAATTAGTCTAAGTGGACTGTTGACAAGAAGAATAGAACTGTACAGTGTTTAAGATAAAACTGTGACCTCCATAGTATAAAGAATTTTTGTACCGACATTTAGCTTGTTTTGAATATATTATTTTAAAGCAAGTGGAGTGCGGGCTGTCCATGTATTTTCCAATTTATTGCCAACAAGTCACAGACACCTACTGTAGAAGAATCCTTAACACCCATATATATATATTTAAAGTTCTGACAACCAGGTTTCGATACCAATGGTGGGCACAACACAAATAGCTCATTGTGTAGCTTTATGCTTAATTACAAAAAAACAAAAAAAACAATTTTTGTTTGTGTGGCGGGAAAATACTTATTTATTTGTTTGTTTATTTGTTTTTGGAATTTTGCGCAAAACTTCACGAGGGGTATCTACGCTAGCCGTCCCTAATTTAGCAGTGTAAGATTAGAGGGAAGGCAGCTACTCATCACCACCCACCGCCAACTCTTGGGCTACTATTTTACTAACGAATAGTGGGATTGACCGTCACATTATAACGTCCCCATGGCTGAAAGGGCGAGCATATTTCCTGGGACAGGGATTCGAACCCGCTATCCTCAGATTGTGAATCGAGCACCCTAACCACCTGGCCATGCCAGGTCAGGGCTGAAGGAACAACTATTAGGTCGTCAAAAAATTAATGTCGCTTTTTCTTAGATGAAAAACATCCGAACAACTTATATATCAAAACGAAATATTTATTAAATGAAAATTCTCCAATATTATCGATTATGCTTTTCCATCTTACAATCAGGTTGTTAGTGCCTTGATTAAAGAAATCACTTGACTTTGAAGGAAAAATCACGTTGATGTTCTCTTTACTACCTTCCATATTTGCATAAGTTTGCTCATTAAGATGGTGTTGCAGCTAACGAAAAAGATGGTAATCTGATGGTGCCATATCTAGAGAATATGGTGAGTGGGAGAGAACTTCCCAATCCAACTCCATAATCTTGTGTTGTGTCAAACGTGCCACATATGGACGTGCATGTCGTGGAGAAAAGAATACCTTTCCGATTAACGAGTGAAGGGCGTTTCTGATGAAGGGTTTCATTTAAACGTTCCAGTTGCTGATTACAGATCTCTCTCTGTATTGAGGAGTTCGAAATGAATTACTCCTTTGATGTCCCACCAAGTGTAAAGCATCACTTTCTGCAGATGGAGTCAAGTTTTTCTCATCGGGAATGGTTTTTGTCTATGACCGAGCCATTGTTTTTTATGTTTAATATTCTCATAGAAAATTCATTTTTCACCACTAATGTCCAAAAATGGTTCAAGCTCATTACGTGCCAAGAGAGAGAAGCAGCATTCACTCGTTGGAACGATGATCATCAAAGAGTTCGTGAGGAATCCAAAGACCTTCTTTATGGAGTTTCCCATATTCCTTAGATGTTTACATATTGTTTCATGAGAGACATGTAATTTCAGGGCCATTTCACGTGTGTGTTGCCTTGGGTTAGACTCAACAAGTATCTTCAGAGCATCAATATCAATTCAAACATGTCGGTCCCTGCCATCACAGTTTTTAAAGCTCAAGTCACCTGAAAGATATTTACTGAACCATCGTTGACACTTACGAATGTTCGAAACATTTCCATAAACTTCTTTGATGTTCTTTGTGGCTACAGAAGCATTGTTTACCTTCTTGTAGTCAAACAGCATTACCTGCCCAATGTGTGTCTCGTCGTGTGCCATCACTATAAGGGATTAGGGTATACTAAACTTTACATATTATATAGGTTACACTAACGTGACGTTTAGACAGTTCGTTTAACTATTTACGTGATGTACGTTTTTTGGGGGGTGTTAATGAAAGTGTTCCAAAACGCGACATTAGTTTCTTGACGACCTAATACAAGATCGAGAATATCATGGGTGTGAGTCATTACATCATTATTGATTGTTGTTAGGTTATTGGTTTCTGTGAATTGATGTAATATTCTTCCATTAGGGTTATTATTTTTGCAATTAAAGTTTAAGTGTTCAGAATTCAGATCTCTTACTATGATCGTGCTTGGATATTGATTGTACATTGTTTGTATTAGAAGATGTTTGTTTATTCGTTTTGAAGTTAAGCACAAAGTTATACAATGTGTTATCTGTGCTCTGCTCACCAAGGCTATCGCAGACATACCACTGTGCCACAGGGGGGCGTATTAGAAGATGAGACGTAAAGATTTGTTGGAGAGATGAATTTGAAAAATTATGAACTGTTTGTTGCAATTAATATTACATGAAGATAATGTTATTTTAAAATTATTTCGTTATTGGAGGGCTATACTTGGTTACTTGGGTTTCTTAATTATCTTATAATTAGATAAACCAAAATTACTCTTTTATTAATTATTGTTTCGTTTATATTTATTGTTATAATATCGGCATTAATGAAATTACATAACTGGAGTAATTCAATTTTTTTTGATACAGACCATTTTGTACATTTACATGTAGAAAAGATGTCATCCAATGTTAAAATTTATTTACCGTTGAATTTCAGGCCATACCGCTTTACCACTGGGGGAGGCGTGATGGTGGATCCGAGGGTTCTTCGGATAGATGATGTAACTTGCGACGTTGAACATTATTTCGTTTTATTTATGGTTACATCTTTACTGGGGTTTGTAAATAGAAACCTGCCTAGGGTGGTATGTGGATACAGTATTGTTATGAGATGTTTATCTCGATGACTACTAAATCCCTCAAATGATTGATGAGACTTGTTAACAGTTATGAATATAAAAAAAAATCCAAAAGTACACAAGAATATACTTATTCGTGTCTGCTGAGCTTGATTATTTAAATGACACTTTATTTTCTATTTCTACTTTTTATCGAGAATCAATAAATAACATATTCCTTAGAAACATCTCACTTAATAAAAGTGTATCTATTTTGAAAGTATGTATAAACATGATGTGAAAAAGAAACCCCTCAAATGAATAATGGGATTTGAAGACGTAATTCAATTGTACAATTAATGTTTGTCTTACCTGTTTTGAATATAAATTTATGTTTTTCTCCTAAGTTTGCCAATAATAATTGAAAGTAAATAGACTCCATGTAATAGAAGAGGAAACTGGGGAAATCCC